TGAAAAGAGGAAATCAATGAAACCAAAAGTTGATTCTTTGAAAATATCAATAAAATCAAGAAGTCTCTAAGACATGCTATGTAAGGAAAAAGAGTATGTATATAAATTACTAATACTGGAAATGAAAGAAGGAAAGGTACCAAAAATCCCTACACATCCCATGGGCATTAAAGGCAATAAAAAATTAGTATGAATAACACTATGCCCACAAATTTGAAACTCCAGATGAAACATACCACTTCCCTGAAAGAAACAGGCTTCCAAAAGTTACACAAATTGAAACAGACTATCTATCTGAACAGGACGATATCTATTAAAGAAATTGAATAATAAAAAAAAAATAATAACCTCCCAAACAGAAAGCACCAGGTTCAGGGATTCTCTGGTAAATTCTACCAAATATTAAAGGTACCTCAAAAAATTAAAAAAAAAAAAAAGAAATACCATATGATCCAGTAATCCCACTACTGAGTATTTACCGAAAAAGAAATAAAAAAGCTAATTTGAAAAGATATGCATACTTCTGTTTATCGAAACATTATTTACAATAGCCAAGGTATGGGAGCAAGCTGTGCCCAACCACAGAAATGGATAAAGATGTGGTATATAAACACAACAGAGTATCACTCAACCATGAAGCAAAAGAATGAGATCTTGCCATTTGCAACAACATGGATGGATCGATCTAGAGGGTATTATGCTAACTGCAAAGTGTCAGAGAGAAAAAGACAAATATATGATTTCACTAATATATGGAATCTAAAAAATGGAGAAAACAAAGCTCTAAAGTGTTTAAAGAAACAATACATACTTCCACACCCAGTAAAGTTAATATAGTATTGCAGGAAGAGGAGGAATCTGGGAAGCGACTGGTTTAACCTGTTCAACTTATAGATGAGTAATTTGAGGCCATCCTGAGGCACCCCAAACTGAAATGATTTTCTAGCTAAAGAGCAGTAGCAGAATTAGGGAAGACCATCTGAATATTTGACGTTTCTCCGTGGTACATTTCTAAATATGGGAAGACTGCCAGACATAATTCTGTTAACAAGCTTCATTCATGCTTCTAGAAAATTCAGTTCATGTTTCTAGAGTAGTCAAATTCATAGACTCAAAGAGTGAAATTGTGTTTACCAGGGGCTGGGGGTGGGGAGAAGGAAATGAGGATCAATGGTCAAAAAGTTTCAGTTAAGCAAGATGAATAAGCTTGAGAGATGCAGTGTGCTACACTGTACCTACAGTCAATCATAACATGTGATACACTTAATAATTTGTTATGAGGAAGATCTCATGTTTTGTCCTTGCCACAATAAGGCAAAATTAAATACAAATTCAGATGTCAGAAAACAGCTGGAGAAAAATAAGATTTTTTTTTTTTTTAAAGATTTATTAGAGAGAGAGAGAGAGAGAGAGAGAGAGACTGGGAGCACATGTGTGTGGGAGGGACAGAGGCAAAGAATCTTCAAGCAGAGTCCCTCCTGAGCATGGAGCCTGATGCAGGCCTCAATCCCACAACCCATGAGATCATGACCTGACCTGAAACCAAGTCAGATGCTTAATCGACTGAGCCACCCAGGTGCCCCTAAGATGGTTGCTTTTAAGACACCTTTATATGAAAAATTATATTCTAGAGATGATTCAAGTTTCTTTCCCTTCATTAAGTGAAGCTTATCACTTGAAGGAGACATTACCCATAAAAACAGCTATTTCTTTTTAATTTATAAGCTTAAAAAAGAAATTTTCTACCTCTGAAATTACAATATTGACATGGCTATGTATATAAAGAGAAATTATAAAAGTGAGCACTGTCCAGCAAAACAAAACAAACCCACAAAAAACAGAGTGATGCTGAGAGGTGAGGAGAAAAGTGGTAAAAATCAGCCCGAAATGGAAAGATGAAATAGTTATATAAGAAAAGTGTAGTAAAATGTCAATGGTAAAAGCTAGATGATGGTATGTATAGGTGTTCACTGCAAAATTATGTCAAGTTTACCATATGAGTGAAAACTTCTACATTTTTAAATGTCAGAAAAATGTCAGAAAAAAAAAAAAATCAACCAGCATGAGATTACCCAAGAACTGGAGTGCCTTCATTAAAATAACCCTGGGTAAAAGGAACTAAAGAGGAAGCAGCTTGACTTCCAAATTTTGAATGAACATTGTAGGGAAACAATTTATGGGAAAAGACACAGAAACTCAAAGCCAAAATTGAACACATGGGGATTGTACCATTTTTGCCATATGAAAGCAAAAGAAGAAGTAAAACAACTGTTTAAAAAAAAAAAAAAAAAAGGAGACTGGGACCCTTGGGTGGTGTAGTCAGTCAGGCATCCACTCCTGGTTTTTTCAGGCTCAGGTCATGATCTCAGGATTATGAGATTGAGCCCGGCGTCCAGTCCCGCACTCAGTGTGAAGTCTGCTTCAGAGGCTCTCTCCCCCTCCTTTCGTCCTTCCCACTCATGTCCTCTCTCAAATAATAAATTAATCTTTTTTAAAAAAGGAGATTAAAGACTAAAGAATTGAGCATGTTTCATGTTTTTTGGTTATTTTGATATTTGCTTTTATGTAGTTTCCATACTGTACATATACTCCCCAAAATGGCTAAAACTAAAAATTTTTTAAATTATAATACCAAGCATTGGCAAGTATGTGGAGCAACTGTGACTCTCATACATCGCTGGAGGGAGTATAAATTCATAAAACCTCTTTGGAATTATCTGGCATTATGCACTCAAGTTGTAATATCCTATGAATCACCAATCCTTTGTAAAGTCTCAATAGAACATATACGGATATGGCCAAAAACATGTATATGAAGCTCACAGCACCATTACTCTTAATAGCTCCAAACTGCAAACCACCATTATGCCTACCAAAAGTAGAATGGAAAAAATAAATTTGAGTATATTCTTAGAACAGAATTCTATACTGCAATAATATGAACAATGTATTGCTACATGGAACACAATGAGTCTCACAAACAATGCTGAATAAAAAAGCTAGTACAAAAGAATGTACACCATCTGATTCTACTTATATACACTTGAATCAGGCAAAATTCTGTGGTGTACCATCAGGGTCGCGGTCCCATTGAGGAAAATGGGATAAATTACAGGTGGGGAATCAAAAGGGCTCTGTGGTACTAGTACTCCTCTATTTCTGAACTTGAATGGTTGGTTATGTAGTGGTTTACTCTATGGTAATTCACTGGGATTTACACTTCTGTTTTTAATATTTTAGGTATGATTTACTTCAAAAATTTATTAAACAAATTTTTAAATGAACTATGAAATTTCTACAATTTTCTTTGGGAAAAGAAAACAAAGGTACATGCACCCACCCCTATGTTTATTACAGCTTTATTTCTAATAGCCAAGATATGGAAGCAACTCACTGCCCATCCACAGATGAATGGATCACAAAGATGTAGTGTGAGCTTATGTGCATGCCCACACATATTAGAATATTACTCAGCCATCAAAAAGAATGAAATCTTGCCATCTTGAAGAATATGGACGGACCCAGAGGATATAATGCTAAGTAGACCAAAAAAGAGACTCTTCAATACAGAGAACAAACTAGTGGTTGCCAGCAGGGAAGCGGGATAGGTTAGGGATGGGTAAAATAGTTAAGGGGATTAGAAGTACACTTATATTGATGAGCACTGAGTAATGTAGAGCTATTCAGTCACTACATTGTACATCTAAAACTAACACTACGTAAATTATACTTAAATAGTAAAAAAAATTATAAAGTGGGATCATATTATTTTCCCTCTATAATTAACATTTTGATAAGGAAAAATCTTTCAGTTGGAAAAATTTCACCAATTACAATAATTTTCCCACATGATAAAATGTATTCTTTTATTTTCATGTCATATGGATAAAACTAAAAGACTAAATTTAAATCATCAGGATAATTCTAAAGTAACACTTTTTTTTTTTTTTTAAGATTTTACTTTTTCTTTAGTAATCTCTACACCCAACATGGGGCTCAAACCCACAACCCTGATATCAAGAGTTGCACACTCCACCAATGGGGCCATCCAGGCACCCTGTAACAATTCCATTTTTGATATAAATTAATATCTTTTACTTCTGGAGGTTTTAAAAAAT